AATAATAATAATAATAATAATAATAATAATAATAATAATAATAATAAAAAGAAAAGAAAGAATGAAAAAAATATTAGATCATTTTAGGAGATGAAACACAGTAAAAACCTGTCTATCCGTATAAAACAACAAATGTCATTTCCTCAGAAGTTTTGTTGTCAGTTCTGTCTTCAGCTGAAAAAGAAGTCACTTCCTGATTATCCACTGAGTCTGTCATTAAAAAAAATGCAGGGCGGAGAAGACATGTAAACTTTAAAAATATATTTTGCTTTTCTGAAGTGGGGTTCAGGGGAAAAGTTCTGAACAATAAATATATTAACTGTTTGGAGACACAGAGTTGGTTCCAACAAGATGGAAGTTTTTAGACAACTTCATTTTGCACATGATCAAGTGGTTCCTCTAAACACGATTGGTAAAGCTGTACAATTAGAGCATTGTATAAAGCTTGTATGTGAGCAGCAGTGAGTGTAATGCAGCCCAAGGGAACTTCTGCAAGGAAATGTTAAAATTTTTTGACAAAACACCGTCTACATATAATGTCCAAACACACGTTTGTCTCAACAGCAATTACAACTTTTACTTGAAACACAAATGAAGCACCTACTTCACAGCCAACCCACCATTCATTTAACTTGACATGGACATGTTGGATGACATGTTGTGCCCCAGGCTGCCCTTGAAGTCCTACTGCTGCTGCAACTGCTTTATGCAAATATATACAGAATTCTACTGTATGTAAATTAGAGATGCACCGATCTGATACCAATATCTGTATCGGTACCAATATCTGTATTGGTACCGATACAGATATTGGTACCGATATCGAAAAAACTTCTGCATCGGGTATCGTGACAATGTGACCGATCCATGACTGGGCAGATCTATTCACTCTAATTCTATGCTTTGTGCTCTGAGTGATGTTACGTGCTAGCATACTGACTGAACAAATTAAAGTTGTGTTGTTTTTACATGTTTGACCAAGCTTGTGAAGCTCTTGGTGTGTTTAAGTGTGTTGCTCTGGTGCAGAGTTTTCAATAAATTTGTAATTCAGTACATTCATGTCTGCATTTAAAAAAAACTAATGTTTTAAGTTAATTCAGCATGGGGTTTGTAAGCTCAGTCATCCAGGTAGACAACAAAAATGGCTAAATCATATCATCTGGACCTGTTTCAGAAATGGGTCTAGATGACATGATTTAGCCATTTTTGTTAATTCAGCACAGTTTTTCTGTATCGGATCGAGATCTGATCAGTATCAACCGATACGAAACCGTAGGTATCGGATCGGAAGTGAAAAAAGTGGATCGGTGCATCCTTAATGTAAATATGCATGTGCTGCTGAATTAGCCATTAGAATTAAGGTTATTAACACATTATTAACATATTATTAATGCATTATTAATGCATTATTAATGCATCTATGCAGCAAATGGTTAACGCCAACAATTTTTTAAACGGTGTTAACGGCGGGACCAATGACACACACACACACACACACAAACACGTGCATCTCAACCAATGAGAGCCTTTGTTTTGTTTCTTGCGTGCAGAGCTCACATGAACCAAAAGGAGCAGCAGGACGCAACAAGAAGAAAGGTACCGGACTTTTACATGGGCATTATTATTTCAAAACTTTTCCCGATGGCAGGCTGGATAGAAGTAAAGTTATCTGTATGCACTGCAGCAGTAAACTGTCACTAAAGGTGTAGTTAGAGCTTGAAATATCACTTCAATTCAACAACAACAACAGCAACATCAAATTGTGGGTGGAAAAGGTGAAACACCCACACCTCCCTCCACCCTCATTCGCCCCACTCTGGGCCCCTGAGCAAGCCCCTTAACCCCCACCACCTGCTTCCTAAACAGGTCGCTCTTGAAAATGAGTTCTCGTGACTCAGTGAGACTACCTGTATAAATAAAGGATAAATTATAAAAAATAAAAAAAAGACAGGCTAACAAATGCTATATCTGGAAGTGGATTGTTACAAATTGCAGGCCTGTTAGCATTGAGGAAGATGCTGGTCTGTGTGACGTCCTTAGAACTGCAACAAATGACAGTATGAGCCTCCCTCACAGCACACCATCACAAGAAGAATTTGTGAGTTGTATGAAAATAAAAGAGCTACAAAATGTTACAACGTGCACCAACTGTTGCTTTCACTGGAGACTACAGGACATCTCTGGGTAATCATAACTACCTCAGAGTTACATTATATCGATGCACAGTGGACGCTGCAGTCACATGCTCTGACTGTAATGAAAACAGGACAGAGACATTTTGCTGAAAATGTGCACAGAACATTTTATTATTGTTGCTCAGCAGTGGAACATTTCACATAAAGTCAGCACACTCAACACAGATAAACATGATGGCTGCTGCAAGACATCTGCCTTTTGAACATGTCCCCTGCATGGTCTCCAGCATTCTGTCCCAGTGTCTCTGCAGAACAGTGTGTTTGACAATGTCCTCGCCAAATGCAGAAAAGTCGTGGACCATTTTAAACATAGTCAGAGTCAGAGTCAGAGTCAGAGTTTCTTTATTGTCATTCGCACCTCATGTGGTACATGTGGTGGAGCGAAATTATGTACGCAGGGTCCCAGTTACATCCAACAATAAAATGTATAAGAAAAACAGTAATGACATCTAAGATATGAACTAAGAAAAACATCAACTAAATATACACTAAGCACTCATAACATAAAACATTGAACATCAGCACAAACATGAACATGAGTCTGTGAGTAGATGTGCACGCATGAACACATCAACATTTAAACAGATCAGCAGCAACATGAAACAGATCAGCAGCAACATGATATGGTTTTTCACAGTGATTATTCTAGTTAGAGATTCATGAGTCTAACAGCCTCAGGGTAGAAGCTGTTCCTCAGTCTAGTGGTTCTACACTTAATGCTCCTTAACCTCCTTCCTGAGGGGAGTGGGGCAAAAAGTGTGTGTGCTGGGTGGGTGGGGTCCTTCATGATGCAGGTGGCCCTCTTCCTGCATCTGGAGGTGTAGATGTCTGTGATGGTGGGGAGACTGATTCCAACAGATTTCTGTGCAGCCTTCACCACTCTCTGCAAAGCTTTTCTTTCTGCAGCTGTGCAGCCTCCATGCCACACATTGATGCTCGAGCACAGGATGCTCTCCACTGCACACCTGTAGAAGGAGGTGAGGACTGAGCTTCCCAGACCAGCTCGCCTCAGCCGTCTGAGGAAGTAGAGTCTCTGATGAGCTTTCTTGATCAGGCTGGTGGTGTTGTTGCTCCAGCTGAGGTTGTCATTCATGTGTACACCCAAGTACTTGTAGCTGGAGACCACTTCCACCGCAGATCCTCTTATGTTCAGGGGGGTGTAGGTGTTTTTGTTCCTTCTGAAGTCCACAATCATCTCCTTTGTCTTCTTCACATTGATGTGAAGGTTATTCTCTTTGCAATAGCTCTCCAGGTGTTCCACCTCTTGCCTGTAGCTGGACTCATCATTGTTTGTGATGCATCCCACCACCGCTGTATCATCTGCAAACTTTACAATGTGACAGCCTGGATGGGTAGCTGCACAATCATATGTGAGCAGAGTAAACAGAAGGGGGCTCAACATACATCCCTGAGGAGAGCCAGTGCTGAGGGTTATGGTGGAGGAGGAGAGGTTGTGGATCCTCACTAACTGTGGTCTGTTTGTTAAAAAGTCTAGTACCCAGTTGCAGATGGAGGGGCTTAGTCCTAGTGTGGATAGTTTGTCCATCAGGGTTTGGGGGATCATGGTGTTGAAGGCGGATGTGAAGTCCACAAAGAGCATACGGACGTAAGAGTTTTTCTGCTCCAGGTGGTTGAGTGCAGTGTGGACCACAGAGGAGATTACATCCTCTGTTGATCGGTTCTCACGGTATGCGTACTGATGAGGGTCCTCGTTGATGTTGATGGTTGTTTTGATGTGAGTCATGACCAGTTTTTCGAAGCATTTAGCGACTATCGGGGTGAGGGCCACTGGCCGATAGTCATTCAGACCAGTCACTGTAGAGCTTTTTGGGACTGGGATGATGGTGGCAGTCTTCAGGCAGGTGGGAACTGTCTCCAGGGTAAGTGAGGTGTTAAAGATGTCTGCCAGCACCTCACAGAGCTGATCAGCACATTCCTTCAACACTTTTCCGGGGATGTTGTCTGGGCCAGTTGCTTTGTGCGGATTAATCCTCCTGAAGGTACTCCTTACTTCTGCTGAGGTCACGCTGAGATGCTCTTCATCCGGTGGCGAGGTGAGTCTGGTGCTGGGTGGTCTGTTCGGGTCTTCAAAGCGTGCATAGAACTTGTTGAGGGCATCAGGCAGAGATGGGTCTTTGGGACATTGTTCGCTCCTTCCTTTATAATCTGTTATGCACTTAATGCCCCTCCACATGCTCCGAGGGTCTTGTGAGATAGTCCAGCAAATGTTGCAGAATTAGAACAACAACAAAACTGGACATGGACAAAAAGAAGAGTCACTCATACAAGATGTTCCAACCAGATGGACTTCAACTCTGGACATGATCAAGTGTCCTCAGAAATGAACAGCCACTGAGACATGTCTTTGTCACACACAAGATCAAGACAGCTGAAATGGACAAACTACAAGAGTTGGAAACGCTCCTCAAGCCCTGCAGGTATATTTTACTTCATATATTTTTCATTGTCCTGTTTGTATGAGATATATAATGTACTGTGTAAATGTACCATAAATATGTGAACAACATTTTTTTGTTTATATAAGTATGTAAATATAATACAGTTCAACTAAAATAGGTCCGATTTTTTGTTGTTGCAGGGATGTGAGTGAAATTCTGTGAGAACAAATTTATGTCTCATGCTCTGCCATCCGGGCAGCACGGTGGCGCAACTGGTAGAGCTGCTGCCTCTCAGCGAGCAGGTCCCTGGTTCAAACCCCGGTCCAGGGGCCTTTCTGGGTGGAGTTTGCATGTTCTCTCCGTGCATGCGTGGGTTTTCTCCGGGTACTCCGGTTTCCTCCCACAGACCAAAAACATGCATGTTAGGCTGATTGGTAACTCTAAATTGTCCCTAGGTGTGAGTGAGAGAGTGAATGGTTGTTTGTCTCGTTTGTCTCTATGTGGCCCTGTGATGGACTTGCGACCCGTCCAGGGTGTACCCCGCCCCTCGCACAGTGATTGCTGGACATGGGCACCGGCGACCCCCGTGACCCAAAATGGAACAAATGGGTAAAGATAATGGATGGATGGATGGCTCTGCCATCCTGCCTGCGTTTTGCCATCTCTGTCAGGTCATGGAGAGCTCTGATGATGATCCTGCCTAAAAATGTGTAATTTTTTCTCTAAAATAAACTAAAAACACCGTTGCCCTGGCAAATAGCTTTGGTTTCATATTTGATATGGAGTTGATCATGTTTATGTTACTAGAAATATTTTAATTGCTAGGGGAACACTGCTGTTAAAAAGTGCTTTTTTAATGGATTGAACTTTTTTTTAAAAATAAAACAGTACCTTAAAAACGTTCTAAACATCTTTAAGTCATGATTTATTAATTTAATAATGAAATTAATCACAAAAATATTTGAGATTAATTGCAATTAAATTTTCTTAATCTTTGCCCAGCACTAATATATAATTATATACATCATATGCATTGTGGATGGAGAGTTTTAGTGTGACCAGACAGGCGTTTGCCTCAGAGAAACTTCTATCACATTCATGGTTGAAGGACAGCGTCAGCTGAGTGGAGAAGTTTGTTATTTGGACATTGAATGGTGGGAGGCACACCCTCTTATTGCTAAAGTGGTTTAGCCCTGGATCTGAAATAGCAAATGAGAAGAGATACGCCTCAAACCACCAGGAAGTGAAGTTCCGCAAAAGAAAAAAATAAAATAAAATAAAATGATAATAAAATAAACTAGCAAATTTGCACCTTCAATTAAGGCATAATTAATATGTAAACAATGTAAAAAGTACTTGTTGTTTATGCATTAACACATAGTTTACTTGTTAATTACGCATGAACTTTTTACGCGTATGTATCACGTAAACAACACATACATTAAACGTTGTTTGCACGTTAAAGTCATATGAAAAATTCACGAGTATTTGGCCCAGATGGCTTTCCATGGTTAACCAGCGTGTGCATGAAGGGCCATGAAAACTAGCAGCTGTTTTTATTCCAGTGATAACTGTTGGACGTTAACGCTCTTTGTTCAAAGAACTGATGTCAAAATGGCCAGAATATCCCATCAACTACAATTTGAAATGAACAACAGAGATGAGATGGATTCATTGTTTCCTGGTTGGAGTTTGATTCATTTCAGTTCACCAGAACAAAAGAAGACTGAAGAGCGTGTCTTTCTTACATTTTTCTTGGTGATGTTTCGAACATCGTGGACATACTGGATCTTTCCTTCATGTCTGACAACACCCACTGAGATGGAGTCCTCACACACCTCTGACGCCACGTACTGGTCCACCTTAAAACCCAGGTCCCTTAGAACCAGGTAGCCTGAAACCGCAGAACACAAAAACATCCAAAACGTCTTCAAATATATAAATCATCACACAAACACAAGATCTACATTTTCAAATTTGTTCAAGTTCAAGTTCAAGTAGGTTTTATTGTCATTCGCATCACATGTGGTACATGAGGTGGAACGAAATTGTGTACACAGGGTCCCAGTTACATCCAACAACAGCAAACATATAAAGTTGAAACAAGGATCCAAGATATAAGCCAAGAAACACGCTAAACACTAATAGTGCAAAACAATAAGCCGAACAACAGCAGCATGAGTCTGTGAGAGTAGAAGAGTAAGAATGAATACAGCAGCATGAAATAATCAGCAGCATGAGATCAGCAGCATGGATAATCAGCAGCGCACATCACCAATCAAAGTGGCATTACAGTGATTTTTTTCTTTCTTTTCCCACTGTGATAATCCTGGTTAGGGATTCATGAGTCCAACAGATCTCAGGCTAGGCTCAGGGAGCAGCTGGGGGATTAAGAGCCTTGCTCAAACCCAGAGTGGGGCAAATGAGGGTGGAGGCAGGTGTGGGTGCATCATCTTTCCCACCCAGATTTTTTGTAAGGGTCAAAAGATTTGAACCTGTGACATCTCATTCACAGGCTGGCCTTCTGTAACCTCTGCCCCATACCTGTAGAGAGCCAGTCCATGAAGACGATCGGTCGCTGATGTCTCTTGACCCTGAGGGATTGGAATAGTGAATATTTGTAGTTTTCAAGATGAATGTTTTTCTGGTCTGGAACTGAACAGGAACTTGAAGAAAACCTTAATGTGTTTGGGGCAAGATATTCAAGTGGGCAGGAGATACAGTGAGTAGAAGAACAGAGTTTTTTTTTTCCTTGTCTAAGGCAGCACAGAGTGACGGATCCTGGAAAGTGGAGGGTGCAATTTTCGCCATTTTGACATGGAAATCCCATTTTTGAAAGGAACATTTCTTAAGCCTAGATGCTGCCACAGACATAAATGGAAGTCCGTACCTCACTTATTTTTCAAGTAATTGCACCACAACATGAATGGACGGACAGACAGATGGACAGAGCGTATTTCCAATTTCTCCTTTTCACTCCACGATGGGTGACATTTAGAGACAGTGCAGATGTGGCAGTGTCCAACTGGCACTGGGAGCAAGCTTGAATTTATGTTGAGAGTATGGACATAGTTCTTGCTTTGGTTCTACAGGGCCTGAAAAGCTTCGCCGTCTCCCAGTTCACCTAAAAAAAATGCCTAAAGAAATACATTCCTAAGTTTTCTCTTGGTCCTTGAAACATGTCAACTGGACAATGAAACCTGTTCAACCTAAGCAACTTTACAAATCTTCCCATTATGCTTGAAAAATAAATGTTAGTGTGTCAGTGCCTACTTTGATCAAAGTAAATACATTCTTCTGCACTGTGGATGAAATGCTTGTATTCATAACACCGACATGGGTTTCCTGTCACACTAAAGCTTCGTTACAAAACTCACCAGTGGCAATGCCATCAAACAGGGAGAGGACTCTGATTGGTCGTCTCTGCTCTGCAGGGACTGCTGGGAAAATCTTAGTTTTCTCCTGAAAGAACAACAAGACATTGTTGGTAAGTCGGAGTCATGTCTGAAAAACATTTTCTTTGATTTAGTCCATACACCAACACTTTTTATCATTGTAAACTACCAAAACCACTGAAGCAACTTTGTGAAAAGTAAAATAAACAAGACTAAAGTATAGTTTTTACCATGATGTTATGTTATATTTTGAACAAGCTTGAGCATAGATGTGTGTGCAGTGTTCAGATCAACATTTTTTCTTTCTTCTACGTTGTTGTCCCCCCATGACCCAAAAAGGAAGAAGCGGGTAAAGATGATGGATGGATGGATGGATGGATGGATGGATGGATGGATGGATGTGCTGACTTTCATTGTAATGTGTGGCTGCATCTAAGTATAAGAAATTTCACTATCAAAAATTTAGTTGTCTGGTCAAAATCCAAGATGGCCACCACCAGCTGTTTCAGGTGTACCACATATGGTAGCCAGAATTAAAAAACTGTTTTTTTGTCTATTTGTTTTGAGGATCACACTAGAATAAATGCCTTTCTGGCTGATGACCATGGTACCTAGAACAGAGGACCGTGTTTAGAAATGTAGATATCTGTGAAGGCTGGAGCTAGCTCATTTGGCAGTTCAGTCACAATCTAAGTCCTGAATATCCTCTAAAGTACAGATATAGTGACAAGAGCGTCTAAGAAACAGCCTGTCATAGAGTTCGTTCTGAGGTCTGTACTCCTGAGCATCACGCGAGTAAGAACAATCAAAGTTCATGCGTAATAAATGTCTGATGAATCAAAGACAACTTGAAGGCAGGAGTAAAAGCCAAAACGCTCTTGAGCCAAAACTTCAGAAAATGCATGTGCCCAATACAATTCTAGGAGGATTCTAGGACCTTCAGGCTATAAAAGCTGCTCTTCCCACCTATTTATTGATGACAGCAACTTAATAAAAAATTGGTGAAGAGCTGGCCCAGCGTTCCATGGACCTGCATTGTTCCTCCTGAATCTGAGGTTCGGTTCATTGATCAGACTCTCTTCTCCAGCACCCAAATAGACCTTACTGGGGATGAGTCTTCAGACTTCTTCAGTGTCAAACTAAAGAAAGTCTTTTGGATAAAAGATGAAACGTTTCAACAAAGAAGAACCCGTCCAGAGGCCCTGACTCAACCTTGCTAGATTTTTTTTCTTCTTCTTTCGGCTGCTCCCTTCTTCAGAGGTCGCCACAGCGAACTAACTCGCACAAAGACTTGCGATTGTTTTTATGCTGAATGCCCTTCCTGATGCAACTACAGACCACCGAGCTACCACAGCCCTCTGTGTGGAGCAGAGAGCTACCGACAAGAATGCCCGGGGGAGCAGATGGTGGGGGTTAAGGGCCTTGCTCAAGTGCTCCGAGTGGTGCAAATGAGGGTGGAGGCAGGTGTGGGTGCTTGTACTGAAACCAAAACACAACTTTAATATTGAAAATTATCAATGTAAACCTAAATTTGATATTTAACCTTCATTTTTAGAGCAACTACTACTTCTGAATAGACATTTGAATTTAAAAGTGGCAACTGAATGCTTCAAAAATCTTCATGTGATCCAGAACAATGAAAATAAAAATAAAAAAACACACTGTGCGGGGTTTTCCTGCAGGCTCAGAACCCAGTGTTTTGGTCCCACCCACTTTACATCAGCATTCTGATTGGTTAATTTTCCTGTCTGTTATCAAACAAACGTCCTGCAGAGACGAGTTCAGCCTTCACTCCTGACGTTCTAATCAACAAGAGCGCCTTCTTTTTCTGCCTGGAGACACAGATTTAAAAGAATCTGATTGGATAACTGTATTTGCATGAATTAAAATAAATTGTGCTCAACTGCAAAGCACCTTACAGAAAATAAACTAACCTAATCAAAAATAAATAAATTAACTACATTGAATATGTTTATTTTAAATAAAATAAACAATATATAAAAATTCTAAAAGTAACATTTTATTTGTGCTGAATTCTTCTGCCCTCTCTGAGTGCGCTGGAACGTTCCCTGCTGGTTATTATAAATGGTTATCACAGAAAAATCCTACAGATATAAAACAAGATCTGCCCTAATTCTTCATACATAACAAGCTCATAAAACAAAGCACCATTAAAGAATAAACTGTGGCAAACTTGGGAGTTACTTTGCATAACTTCTGTCTGTTTTATTTATCATAATAAATAACCATCAGATTAGTTTATGGTTTCCTGAAAACATACTATTTTCCAAATAAACATATTGACTAACGGGCTTTTTCAGAGGAAGGAGGCTGATTTATTCTTAATAACAACACTTTTATAAATATAAACATCTGCAAATCATATAACAGTCTACATGAGTTAAGGTTCTGGGATTGACTAAGCTTGATAATACTGATGCCACCATGGTTAATCTTTTGTGTGTGTGTGTGTGTGTGTGGGGGGGGGTTATAAATTATACATATTAGTCTTATATATTCTGTATGAAATTGTCTAAAATTTGAAATTTGATTTCACTTTACAGAAGACTATTCTATACTTTAATATGGAATAGTATGATCGGTTCATGATGGCAATAAAAAGTACAAAATATCCAAGGGAGTGAATACTTTTCAAACACATTGATCAAATGACTCACAAACTCCTGTCCGTTGTCATTAGCAAAGAACTCCTGCAGCTTCATGCTCCAGTCGTGCCGTCGTTTGAGGACCCCATACTGCAGGAGGGGCTGGCACATGTAGCATCGCCATGGGTCCTGGTACCGAGCGCTGTTAGAAGCTCCGGGGTCAATCAGGATGTCCAGACAGTCCACACAGAAACATCTGGGAGAACAGGCATAAACAGCTGGAGAATCATGCTGACAAAGGAGAATCACCACTGGATCCTCCAGATCCACTTGCAGCTTAGTCAAAGATTTCTCCAAAGAAACCTGTTGTAGAAAAATATTCTCGCTTTATCTCACTTACTCAAAAGGAGCCACATTTGATAAGAGGAGATTTTTAAACAGTTTTTACTGGCAAGGTCAGATTTTCAGGACAGGTTACACAGATATACAGGAAGTACACGCATGAAGCCCAGTCATAAAAATCTGCCACGAGCCGTGTGTGAAGCTTGTTTTTATATGCTTATCAGTTCAGCCAAGATCACAGACTTGGAGGAGTCCTTGGAGTGCCAGCTGCACGTAGCAGCCTCACCCAGCTCCTCATTCAGCGCTCTCTGCTTACCCAAACATATGGTTCATGGGCAAAATTAACATTCTCAGCCATAGTCATTAAAAACATCCATAAACTTTGACCAAACATTCCCTAACAAAACCGTCCCGGTGAGATCTGACCTTTGATGTGTTTAACACAGTCAAAGGTCAGATCTCTCCCTGTGTGTGTGTATTTGGACATGTCTTTTCAAGTTCTATCCATCCATTTTCTTTTAACCACTTCTTCCTTTTCACGTCGCGGGGGTCACTAGTGCCCATATCCAGCAGTCACTGTGTAAGAGGCGGGGGACACCCTGGACAGGTCCAACACATGGACACATAGAGACAAACGAGACAAACAACCATTCACTCTCTCACTCACACCTAGGGACAATTTAGAGTTACCAATCAGTCTAACATGTGTTAGTGTATGTGCAGTGTTTTATACTGAACTATAATATAAATGCAACACTTTTGATTTTGCTTCCATTTTTCATGAGCTGAACTCAAAGGACTAATACTTTTTTATGTAGACAAAAGGTGTGCAGGTGTTGTGTTTGTGTTCAGTGTTGCATTTCTATTTTTGTTCAGTGTCATGTTTAAAGCTTGTGTTTGTCTTTGTGTGTTTTTGTTGTGAAGCTACTGGTGGACCATGCAGGTGTTTCCTCTGGGTATGAAAAAGTCCAGACTGTGTGTGTGTGTGTGTGCGTGTGTGTGTGAAACCTGCAGCAGTTGGCATTGCCACAGAGCAGAACCTCTCGACCTCCACAGCAGACAGTGCAGTAGGACTGGTAGCCATCATCGTCGTACATGTAGGACGTTTCCAGGTACACATCCTGAACACAACACAGGTGTGGCAGCTTTCACCTCCAGCCCAGCTCTCAGACAGCTTTGGATTCATTTTACTACGATGTCAAAATAAACCTGCAGAACACGTCTGATAGAAAATTAGAAATTGATCCTGATGCTTTTCATGGCAAATATGTCTTTCAGCTCATTCGGCTGTCAAAACATGAACCGTCCTGCTGTCCTTCGGTCAAAATGACCCACCAAGACAGTTTCAGGACTTTATGGCTAAAACTTTGGGGTTTTCTAACATTGATACATTCAGACATGAACTTTATTTACAGTTTTTGTCTTTTTCAGATACATTTCAAATCTTTCAAAAACAGTGAGCTTTTCTGCACGTTTTTTTAAATATTTTAAATGTTCTTTTAATCTCCTTGTGTGGGTTTTTGTTTTATCTGTTTGTTTCCATGTGGTTTTTCATCTTGACACTATCACTAAACATAGTTTTACAACAACTTCTTCCACACCACATTCAGCCAGATGGCAAGAAGTAAATAAGGGCTGTATGTGATTGTGTGTTTGTGTATACAGTAGTCCCTCGATACGTCACGGTTCGACTTTCGCAGACTCACTCTTTTGCTGGTTTTCAATCCTGTACACGACGCATGATTGTCAACTTTAATATTACTCACATGATTGGAACGTTAACGGGAGTGGACGGGAGCAAGAATCAACCAATAAGACCACAAACAAAAACAAAAACAAAAAATAACACTTGGGACAGGTGCTGCCATTTTGTAGTTTTCTTTCAATAAACCTACACTGTCGCAACTAACGCAAGTCAAAAGAACTACACAGCCCAGAAGCCAACAGTGCTTCTGGCTACTGCTTTCTACTGAAATTCATAGAACAGAAATGGAGGGAGCAAACACTAGAAGAGAAACTGATGCGGTAAAAATAGTTTTGCAACGCAATTTAAGAAGTAACAATCTATTTATTAAGCTCACAGAACTGGCAGGAAAGTTGCAAATAATCCTGAAGCTGAACTCGTCCATCAAGCTGTATCTTCATTGGTGAGTACCCATATAAAATTTTGCAGTGCTGTACAGTACATATACATATGTTGTTAAAGAGTTTAAAACATTGCAAGTGTGTCGGTAGGGTTTATAAAGCCTTGAAAAGTATATAAATACTAAAATTAATATAATGTCCCTACGTCGCAGATTTTCACATATATCGGGGGTGTCTGGAAAGTAACCCCCGCAATAAGTGAGGGACTACAGTATATGTACGTATGTATGTATAGGTGACATGGTGGCATGGTGGTTAAAGTGGTTGCCTCATAGAGAGAGGCTGTTAGCTGCCGTACCTTGCATGTTTGGCACAAGCCTCCTTCAAACAGCGGGTGGAAGGTTGCTGTTCTCATTTGTCCACAAGAGAGACAGAAATCTATAAAACAAACACACACCGATCAACTAAATTAACACACACCACTCCACACACACACACACACACACCACCAACAGATGTTACCTAATAGAGCTGGGAATAAACGGCAGTAGACGTACCGTATGCACACTATATATCAGTCCTTCTCAAATACTCCCCCCTGGGGGGGTGCCTGGGGGTGGGGGGCGTATGTGACCCTAGAAAACATGCTTTTATTGCCGCAGGGAGTAGTTTTTTTTTTTTTTTCACCATTCTCATTTTGTCGTATGCGTGCCTATTAATAAAGTTATGAACAAATATGGCTGCCTTGTCGTTTTGGGAGCCATGCATGAACCGTGTCTCTCCCCTCTGCTGCTGACACGATAAATAAACTCCAACCGTCACCTCCTCCGTTCTCCGCTGCTGTTTTTATGTCCATGCGCTCTGGACATCACTCACAGCGCGCATGCAACAAAGAGTAAACTCAAGTGAGAGCGACACCTGCCCCTCTTTCTTCTTTTGCGTTGACAAAATGTTTTAGTTTTATCGATGAGTTTGTCAAAGCATAATTTACTGAAGTAATGTTTAATAAATGTTAGGACTCTATTCTTTGCTAACAAAATAAATTCACCTCCTCAGTTAAGCTGCTGTTTTTATGACGCTCTGGACGCCTGTCACCCACAGCACGCAGGCAACAAAGAGTAAACTCAAAGCGAGAGCATTACTTGCCCCCCTTTCCTCTTTCACATTGACAAATTTTTTTAGTTTTATCGATGAGTGTGCTCATTGATCCTGATTTCATTTTGATAAATAAATTAAAAATCTGCATAAATTGTTTTATTCGTTTGTGTTTTGTAGGTCAAACTGTTTTATATAACACTCATGAGTTAAAATGTTGCTGATCAATTTGAATTTATTATTATTTATTGATAATATTTAATTTTATTTCTCAGTATCAAATGGTCAAAAACGTTTAGTTACAGGGGGGCATAACAGAAATAATTGAGAAGCACTGCCATATACGAAGAGTTTACCTTCAATACTTAGCTTCTTCTCTCGGACTTCATTCACCATTTGTTCTGACAGAAGACATAAAACATCAGGAAGTAATGTGAACGTCTGCATCATCATCAAACAAACCAAACACTTCTATCAGATCTGCACAAGCGAGACTGATAAAAACAACTAAACTTCATTCAAGGCTGACAGGTTCAGAAATCAGTCCAAAGGAGTCTGTTTTATAGAAATACTTTGTACAACGGGCTGCAAAAGTATTCACCCCAACCCAAGATAATCTTGTATGTATACGTTATTGTTTTTATAACCCAACCCTGGTCTGTACTTTGTCTCTGACCTGTGTGGAGAGCTCATTTGGAGGTGTTGAAGATGGGTTGGTTCTGGTGGCAGGAGTGTAAATTATTCAGAGATCATTCAGATTGTCCACAGGTTGATCTGATTGAACAGGCACCTTATGACAGTGTTGGTTGGGGTGTATACATGTGCACTTTTCAATTTTCTAGTTTTGTATTTTATTATTAATATGAAACAAGTTGTTTTCTCAATTTTCACTTCAGTACTTAATTCACTTCAATATTGTAGGATAATTAGTACTTATCAACATTGTAATACATTTCTCTCATGGGGTAAAGCAACCAGATAAAAATTTTGCAACCAACTGGATGCAGTTAGCATGACCTTTGACCCGTACCTCTGCTGCAGGACTCCTCAGGGGCCGCTTTGTTTTTGCACAAACTGTATTTGGGCCGCTTCGCACTAGCAAAGTAGTCATGCAGGGAAACGTTGACAATCTGGTGGTCCAAAGGGTTCCCATCTGCAAAAAGACCCACAAACACATTTACTCACAAAACAGAAAAGTCCAAATGAGAAATGAGATGAGGCAGAGTAGCTCTACAGCTCTGCTCACCGCAGCTGGGAGTTGGTTTGAGTCCTTCCTCTCCTTTGGGCAGAAAGCCTCCGTTGGCCCAGTCTAGCATGGGTTTGACCTGGTCCTCTGGGTTATCTGATGCACATGGAGGAAACGTCTTGTCTGCCCTGACGCTGGCCATCTGAGACAGCAGCAGAAATGTTAGCTTGTCAACTGTCCATAGTTAACGTTACTAGATGGATTTTCATATATACTGTATGAATGTTTCTGTTCAGTGCCCTGAGACAATTTCTTTTGTGACTTGGCGCTGTATAAATAAACTGAATTGAACTGAACTTAACTGAATTGGAAACACTTCTTACATGTGAACAAACCTATTTAGTGCATAGAGCATCCGCCACGACAAGTTAAAGTACTTGGTTTACAGTCATACTGAACTGAGTGTGCTCTTTAATACATCCAACAGTACACACAGGTGTAAGATAAACTCAGTGTGTGCTATGACCATATTTATCTGTAAAGTTGACAAGTTACAGCCCTTTCTGGTGCTGGTGTTGATTAGCCATGGTGGCCATGTTCAACTGGGTTGACTCCAGAAGTTAGCTGGTCAAGTACACCCAATGATTACGTTCTAAATGTTTCATGAAAGTCTATCCAGTGGTTCAGGACATATTTTGCCAACAGAGTCAGAGAATCAGAGAGGTTTATTTGTCATACACACCCCATGTGGTACATGTGGTCGAACGAGAATATGTACACGGGGTCCTAGTTACATCCAACAATAAAATGTAAAAGAAAAGCAATAATAAGATCTAAGATATGAACCAAGAAAAACATCAACTAAATAATACATTAAGCACTAATAGCATAAAAACAATACGTCGAACAGCAGCACGAACATGAGTCTCTCTGAGCAGATGAGCATGCATGAACACAGCAACATGAAACAGATCAGCAGCAACATGAAACAGATCAGCAGCAACATGATGTGATTTTTCACAGTGATTATTCTGGTTAGAGATTCACGAGTCTAACAGCCTCAGGGTAGAAGCTGTTCCTCAGTCTAGTGGTTCTACACTTAATGCTCCTCAACCTCCTGGATGAAATTACGGTATGACTAACAGTTAATGCTAACGTTTGTGGTGAAAGTCTTGGTCAATGAGTAGCATGTGTGTGAATGACACATATGTGTTGTGAATGACGAACTACAGACATGCTATTTTAGATTTCCGTAGCTAAAACTTTCATCCATTTTTGCATTTTCTAAGGTCAGTTGATTATGACAGCCATCTTGAATTAAGTTGACTCCAAAAAGTATTTGTCAGAGAATTTTCGGTCAAGGGTTATAAATGTTTTATTGTGTTTTATACACTGCCTGGCCAAAAAAAAATGTCACCACCAAAAAAAAAAAAGGTCACACACTAATGTTTCGTTGGACCGCCTTTATCTTTGATTACGGCATGCATTCACTGTGGCATTGTTTCGATAAGCTTCTGCAATGTCACAAGATCTATTTCCATCCAGTGTTGCATTAATTTTTCACCACGATCACTTCACCTGCCTCTCTTCTTACCCTGATGCGCCCATCACTCTGGAACAGGGTAAATCTGGACTCATCAAACCACATGACCTTCTTCCATTGCTCCAAAGTACAATCTTTATGCTCCCTAGCAAAGTGAAGCCTTTTTTTCCAGTCACTCACTGATCTCACTGATTAGTGGTTTTCTTAAGGCTACGCAGATGTTCAGTCCCATTCCCTTGAGTTCCCTTCACATTGTGCATGTGGAAATGTTCTTACTTTCACTATTAAACATAGCCCTGAGTGCTACTGTTGTTTTTCTTCGATTTGATTTCACCAAACGTTTAAGTGATCGCTGATCACGATCATTCAGGATATTTTTCCGGCCACATTTCTTCCTTGAAGACGATGGGTTCCCACTATCCTTCCAGTTTTTAATAATGCTTTGGACAGTTCTTAACCCAATTTTAGTAGTTTCTGTAATCTCCTTAGATGTTTTCTCTGCTTGATGCATGCCAATGATTTGACCTTTCTCAAACAGACTGACAACTTTTCCACAACCACGCAATGTCTTTCAACATGGTTGTTTAAGAAATGAGAAGCAACTCATTGCACCAGTTGGTGTTAAATAGCTTATCAGCTGAAAGATAATCGCCTGTGCAGTAATTATCCAATAGGAGGCTTGTACCTACTTGTTTAGTGAACCAGGTGGTGACTTTTTTTGCCAGGCAGTGTATATTGTGGCAGAGATGGCTGTTAAACATTTCCCTCTGCCCTGAAAACCTGCTGTTTACCAAAACAATCTCTTATCTTGACCTGGAGGCTGACTTGATGACTAGCAGTGTCTTCTTGGTGTTGTCGCCATGAGAACATGTCCAGAACATTCTCTTATATCTATCTGGAGGTCGACTCGCCAACTACAGCTGGCTATGAGGGAACAACCGCTGGACTCCGCTGCTGTATAAAAGTCTGCAGATGACTCTATTCAACGCTCATTCTGTGATATGTTCCATGCATTATGTATCTATGTATGTAATATGTCTTGAATGGGTCCTTGCAAGTAAAATGCCAATTCAAAATCTTCTTCTATCGTTGAGTGTGGTTCTTTTGGGTAAACAAAAGTTAGAGAGATTTTCTCCAACTGTCAGGTTTTCTGCTTTGCCTGCCATGGTTCCTGTTCATGTTTGTTTCATCTCAGCTCCTGTCAACCTGCACCTCAGTCTGCTCTTGTAACCACGCCCACTCAGCTGAGTCACCACAATCAGCTCTCATGCAGCTCACCTGTTGTCATTTGTACTTAAACCCCACAGCCACACTGCTCAGTGCCAGATTATGAAAGCCTCACAGTGAGTAAATGTCTAGTGTCCATGCCACAGTTTTGGTTGTCTTCCTGGTTCTGACTTCATGCCTGTCTTACAGATTACCCATCTTGACCATCCCCTGCTTACTTTGGATTATCTACTCTGTTTATGGTGACGACCTCTGCCTTCTCTACAACGACCACGTCTACCGGATCACAATTCAAGTCTGATTTCAGATTTCTGATCATCTGTGCATGACCCTTGCCTGTCTCCCTGGATCTGTCTTTTAGATCTTCCTCCTAACTGCTTCAAGCACAGCTCTGCCTCATAACCAGCTCACCTTCTCCATCAGTGACATCACACAATCTAACTCTAAGGAAATCCTCCCTCATCTACTTACGAAGGTTGATGGTTATAAACTGAACAATCAAACCAAAGCCGTTGAACTCCAGTTCACTAACCTTCCTGTCTCTTCAGATCGTGCTGGCCCAAGGACTCAGACCTCCACCAGAAGATGTTTACCAATAAATCTAATAAACCTTCCTGTTTGTGATCTGGTTCTTGTCACCAACAGTATAATCTGTATAGAGATATATACATTAACCCACACAGCAGCTGTTGACAATGAAGGAGGTGTCCAGACTATTGAACCTGATTTATGCTTGTCTATGGGAGAACTGCAGAAAGTTTTGTTTCCCTGCAGACTGATGTGTAATGAAGCAGATGACCAGTATTCAGCAGCAGTATGAGTTCAGAAACACACTCGGTTGGAAAAAGGCATAAACAGCCTCCCAACAAAGCTAAAGTAGGACAGAAAAAATACATAATCCATTTATGCCCTAAACATCAAGAAACTTTTACTGGGCAAGACAATGAACCCCTCATTGCTTTTGATATCGGTGTATGAATGTGATAAAGCTCTGATTATTCTTTGTATAGATCTAGTAAGTGCTGTATGAATGGGTAAATGAGGACACGGATTGTAAAGAGCTTTGAGTATCTTGATAAGATAGGTGCTATATAAGTACAGTCCATTTACTGTTTACCATTTACTTTATGGTTGGGTTGTGGCTGTTTAAACAGCTGCATTAACACTCTACCAGAACTGGACATCTGTTCTCAATGACAAAAATGATCTTTTGTAATTTTCTTTTTTTTTTTTTTTCATTTACCCATTATTTATACAGGTCTCATTGAGTCACGAGAATTCATTTTCAAGAGAGACCTGTTTAGGGAGCAAATGGTGGGGGTTAAGGGCCTTGCTCAGGGGCCCAGAGTCGGGCGAATGAGGGTGGAGGCAGGTGTGGGTGTTTCACTTTTTCCACCCACATTTTGATGTTGATGGTACCGGGAGTTGAGCCTGCGACTTTCCGATCACAGGCTCATCTTCTAACCTCTGTGCCACCACTCCCCTTTTGTTCTTGCATGAGCGCTGAGAACCCAGGTGAGCACGAGCTCCAGACAGAACTTTTTCCTGTAGGAGTGTGTTAAGTGTTGTGTGATTGATCAGAACTTTGTTGTGGATGTGTTTATGAAGAAAGTAACTGAAGTACAGCCTTTTTCACTTCAACTGCTTCGCTGAGGAGCAGCTGGCCGAGGCTATTTTTTTTTAATTTACAACTGCTCTTAAAAACTTATACATAGTCAAATGAATTTTATAAAGATAGTTAAAGAGCTTGTAGAAGGAGTTTGTGCCATTTCTGTGCAGGGAGAAGACAGCATGGAGAGACAGGCAGCTCTCTGTGGCTGTGCGGTCCAGGAGGGACACAGTCCCTACGTTCCTTCATCATAGTACACCGTCTGTTGGCAATGCTGGTAGCCTCCCTGTGACACATTTTCCTATGCCAAACCATGTGTACCATGTGAGCCTGTATAACAAAAATATTTGGTCGCAGTGAGAGAAACAGAAATGTGTATGGAGAAGGAAACATAAAGATGGGAGGGGAGCTCCATGATTTCTTTGCTGCAGTTTCTCATATATGTCCATGTGAAAAAGAATGTCGTACAACTCAGTCAGTGAGAGCAGACTTCTTCCCTCTCTGCAGAGTTTGGAGAAACCTTACCTGTACCTTGAAATCACTGAGCTGAGACTTGCAGAAAATCACAGTGGAAACATTCACTTATGGAGTTTACTGACCATTTTCCAGAAAATATGGTCACTAAACCCCTGAAATCAGCAGGCTTTGTGTTCTTAGAGCAGCTGTGACTTGTGAAAACAACAAACTGTGAATGTGGTAAAAAAAAATAATAATAATAAAAAAAAAAGCTTATTGTTAAGCTTTTTTGTTTTGTTTCTGCATACCTCTTAATTTGAAGGATCAGCTGGTCTCTCAACAAAATTGATCAACTTCTCCCGACAGGAGTCAGGGTAAGGAGGACCCTCTTACCTCGACGGAAACAAATTGGATTCATGATGACTGGTTATTTTGCTGTTTGGTTGGTGAATTCTGGATTGTCTACAAATTTGTGTGGATGTGTCGAAGCTCCACAGTGCTCAGACTGAATTTGTGGAGCTGCAGCAGGGAGCTGGAGCAGGCTGTTATCAGGACTGTGAACTCACTGGCAGCACTCATGAATGGTGGGAATAATCTTGGAGAAGCTGTGAGCTCAACTTTTGGCGTAAAGGATCAATTCGGCTGTTTTGGAGTTTCCATCAGAGAATATTTACCAGCGAGACTTTAAAAGGCAGAAACAACAATTCACGAGTTCTGCCTGACCCAAATTGTGGCCTTGATGCCGGACTTATCTCAACACCTCCTGGAATTCATTCAACCTTTATTTAGACAGGTAAATCCCATTGAGCCTGTGGACATGTAACAGAACCTCAACTGAGCTGAAAATGAATGTCACCTGAACAATGGCTGGGGGGGGGGGGGGGCGCTCTGGACTATGCTACGACTTTCCCTTAAAAATTCAATGTTTTCACCGGCCTATATGTACATGTATAACGTCTGTTTATGTTGCTTTGCTGTGGTAGGTTTTTTTGATGCCTCAAATTGAGCTCAGTGTTTGGTTAGTTATAGGAATTGGTTTCTTAACTAAGGTCAATTAACTGTGGTAGCAAATTTGAATATGCTGATTTCAAAAGGTAATCAGTTGTAAATGTTCATCCAGTAATTTATAAAAAAAACATAATCACTACAAATAAAACAGCTACATGGTTTCTTGTAAATCCAACCTGCCAGTAATCAATGAAGCATAAGTTGCAGTTAGAATGCTGTCACATTTACACTTACCTCTAGTGCTTGAAAGATAGCTCTGCGATAAGAGGCCAGCTTGGTGTAAGAAGCCTGGTTGAAGAACTTGGGGAAGGCTGTCAGAAAGTCCAGCTTGTCCGCAGAAACCTGACAAAAATACAGTAATGCTATCTGATACAGCCACCTTGTCATGCCTCAAAACAGCTCGGTAAATAAATGGCACACGGGTAAGAGAAGCTGCTTTAATCATTTTCCCAATAAACCAAGTGCAGCTCTGTCGTGAAGAGTTGCGTTTCTAACATCCTTCTACCAATATACCCACTGTCCCTCCTCTGGACATGTCCAAATCATCTCAGTCTGGCATCCATCCATCCATCCATCCATCCATCCATCCATCCATCCATACATACATACATACATACATACATACATACATACATACATACATACATACATACA